TTCGAACCCATTCACTCTAAATACGAACTAGAGAGAGTGGCTTCGAATAATCGTCAGGGCGGGAAGTTACACATTTTATAGTGCAATATGTAAGTGTCACTGGTGTCAAGTGTGCGATGCCTTCCAGTATGTTGTGACCCCCCCCCCATAACATTGGATTTCAGGCGTTTTTTATTCTTTGACACGAACTTAATTTTTTTTTTCAGCTTCAAGTTCCTCTGCGTTTCTTTTCTTCATTTTCGTCTGTTCTGTGTTCCATTTCCTTGTGATTCTTTCCTCTTTCTTATTTCTCTGATATACGTTAAAAAAAGGGAGAGAATAGCGAAGCGGATGAGAAAGAACACTCGCTAACAAGAGGAGATGGAGACGAGCATCAGATAACGTGAAAAAAAAGAAAAGAAAAGAAAAAAAAACAGTGAAGGATATCAGAGAACGAAACGAGGAAGAGAGAAAACACCCGCTTACAAAACTGATCTGGCGAAGAAACACGAAACAAGAAAGCAAGGAAGAAACGAAACAACCCGCTAACAACACGGCCTGGAGAAGAAACACAGGACAAGAAAATAAGGAAGAGAAGAAATACCGGATAACAAAATGGGAGACGAAAGACGCAAGCAAGACAAACGGGAGAGGAGGGCATCATGTAACGAGCGGAGGCGGGAGGAACGAGCATCTTCTTCGTGACGCTCATAAATCCGGATTAGAGAACGTGTCCGGCACCACGAGAGAACCGGCCCCGTCGCGTCCGGCCCGTCACGTCTGCTGCGTCACGTCGCTCATCTCTCCGGCGACGCGATATGATCTAAATTGCTGATCGCGGTTCAGTCTATAGATCTACCGTTACATTGCGATAATTTTGAAAGCAACATATATATATAATCATCTATTTACTGTACAGTCACTGCGATACTATATACGTACATAAGAAAAAAACAAACAAACATAAAATCATTTACATACACCATTATACAGAACACAACTCTATTCCAATATCTTCCGTCACCGCGATACTCTTGACGCTATACACTAAAAAAACAAACAAACAAACGCACACACAAACCATTACATAAAAACATTAGACCATTATACATAACACACACAGACCACAACACAAACTGCATCACGGCAATTTCAAAGTAAAAGTTGGCCGAACGTGTCAACACAACGCTTGTTTCGATAACGACTCCTTGTTACCTGCAAATGATGTTTCCAGCCGTCTTGTCGTGTCCGCCACAGCATTAACGAAGGGCAGAGGCTTTCACCACATCAAGAATATCGATCGCCACGCCGTGCTGAGGGCGGTTTCGTTATAAAGTGTTTTCTGTTTAAGTTATCTTGTATTCTATTTCACTCTTTAGCGTTCTCTATTTCATGATGAGCGTTTTTCTATTTCGTTATTTTGTATTCTATTTCCCTATATAGCGTTCTCTATTTCATTATAAGTGCTTTGTGTCATTATAAAGCGTTTTCTATTTTATTGTAAAATGTTTTCTATTTTATTATGAAGCGGTTTTTACTTTCCTATGCAGCGTTTCATCATTATAAACTGTTTTTCTCTGTTCGTTCTTGATCAGATATTTTACAAATTCTAAATATCTTTTTTTGTGTTCGAAGGCGTGGTTTATCATAAAACGCATGACTACATGTTTTATTTAATTTCATTATAAATTATTTTCCGTACGTTCGTGATTCTTTTCAGACATGATTAGTTCAAGAATTTATTTCTTATTTTTTATAGGTTATTTATAACAACAGTCAAAAAAAAAAGTTGAAAAAATATACTAGCAGTTTATTTTAAGTACACTGAATCTATTTATAAAATCCACACGCGTCAACACCTTTCCATCAAAAAAACAAAACATAAACGAAGAAAAAAAAACTACGAACATGTCACGTCCGAACCGAACACCTCCAAGCACCAGCAATCACCGAAACGAAATATCTCGAAGGAAAAAAAATATTGCCCACCAGAGGGTCAACCTCCAGCTGACGTACAACACCAGGGCCTCAGGGCAGAGTCGGCAACAAAGCGCCTCATGTGGGGCAACGGAGCACATCAGGGTTTCAGGTCCTCGAGAATCAACACCGTCTGGCGGAGGTGGAACAGGGGGGGGGATGAAGGGAGAGGGGGGGGGAGAAGAGTAGGAGGTGAAGGTAAGGGTGAGGGGAGTAGAGTGGGGGGTGAAGGGTAGGGGGTGAAGGAAGGAGGGGGGGGTAAGATAGGGGGTGAAGGTAAGGGTGAGGGGAGTAGGGTGGGGGTGAAGGGAAGGGGGGAGAAGAGTAGGGGGTGAAGGTAAGGGTGAGGGGAGTAGGGTGGGGGGTGAAGGTAAGGGTGAGGGGAGTAGGGTAGGGGGGTGAAGGGAGGGGGGGAGTAGAGAAGGGGGTGAAGGTAAGGGTGAGGGGAGTAGGGTGGGGGGGTGAAGGGAGGGGTGGAGTAGAGAAGGGGGTGAAGGTAAGGGTGAGGGGAGTAGGGTGGGGGGTGAAGGAAGGAGGGGGAGTA